GCCACACCGAGCCGCGATGTGCGCGTCTGTCAGCGGGCCTCAGACCACGTGAACCACGACCCCGTGGACGTCTGGGATCCTGGAGATTTGTTGCGTCCCCTCTTCCCCCTCTGATTTGGACGCCCGAGATGGGTGCGGAACAAATGAATACGCTGCCCAACAACACATATCGTAATATTGTCCAAACCCGACAGCGGCCGCTGTTGAGCTGGCGGCCTTCTGTCTCAAATGGACAACGTCGGCGGCGACACCGACAGCGAGTCATATTCAAAATGAATAAGACATGCTTTCGGTCTTCGTGACCACTTCTTCCGTTCCCGTGTCGATCGCACCGATCTGGTCCCCGGTGCCATACACCAAGCATCGAGACGGCCAATTCTTCGCAATTGTGGACCTCCAGAGTCCGTTTTTGGGACCCAAGACCGCCAACAACAAATCAGCATAAAAAACAAGCCCGAGGAAACGTGTCGACAGGCCCAGGGACCCACGTCACGAACAAATGGTGACGTCCCCGTCTCCTGACATCAGGCCGTCGTGACCAAAGTCAGCTGGTATTTGTCCGAACGTCCAGTCGAAGGTTTCTGACGAATCCATTCCTGGCTCGAAGGAATCCTGCATCAAGGCAAGGCCCATAATTCCAGCGGCGATTTTTGTACGGTACCGTTCCTTCTCCTTAATGTTGGATGTTTGGGCCTGTCTCCTCCTCCTCCTCGCCCTGTTCCTCCTCCTCTTCACCACCACCAGCCTGGATATGTTGTTCTCGAGAGCTTGGATCACTGCGTCTGCCGTGGAAAAGGGGACCGAATCTGGCTCAGACATGGCCAGTGCTATCTCAACCATGTACCTGGATGAGCTGTACTGGTAGGCCACAACGCTGTCGGCCTCTAAGCCCTTGGCGCAATGCTCTTTGATTGTCTGGCACACATGCTGCTGCAACGGCTCCAGTAAGTCCACGGGTACGCTTGCTTGTGCAAGCGGCCCCAGCTGTTCCTTCAGCAGCGTCACCCAAGTACACATGATCACGAACGACAGAACCACGGAGAAGAGGGGATCGACCCTCTCTGCGAGTTCGTGCATGGAGTCCTTGAAGTACAAGCCCACCATCAGGGAAGCGATCGCGAAACTGGTTGCGAGGAACTCATTCCTGCTGTCGTTGGCCACGGATCCGCCACCGTGCCGTAGGCACCGAGTGGAGTGTGGCCGGGTCCTTTCGACATATCTGTATCGTGTGCTGCAGATGCCCCTCAGGGGGCCCAAAGCCCCGATTCGCGGGAGCTCCCGTGCGCTCTCTCGATCGCACGATCTCGGACCCCATACTTCTAGCATGGCCTCGGCTGGTCTCAGGACCCGTCCTGGAGCCATGTCGGGCGTTTAGTTGTTGTTGTGGTTGTTGTTGTTGTTGTTGTTGTTGTCGCTGCTGTTGTTGTCGTTGTTGTTGTTGTTGCTGTTGTTGTTATTGTTATTGTTGCTGTTGCTGTTGCTGTTGCTGTTGCTGCTGTTGTTGTTGTTGCTGTTGTTGTTATTACTGCTATGGCTGTTGTTGCGGTTGTTGCTGTTGTTATTGTTGTTGTTGTTGCTGTTGTCATTGTCGTTGTCGTTGTTGTTGTTGTTGGTGGCTTTTTTCTTTTTATGATATGTACAATTATTTCCTTTTCCCCTCTTCGCGATAGCGCGAAGCCAGCCTGCTGCTCCTGTGGCCGCCTCTCGAAGCGTGCCGCCGTGGAGGTGTGAAGCAGGCAGGAGAAGTAGAGCGAAGGAGCGAAGCAGACCCAAGCGCTGTGTGGCGGATCCACCACGTCCATGTCTTTCAACAGCACAGCGGTCAACAGGAGGCGAAGCGGGCGACCAAAAGAGAGAGGAAGAGGAGGATCAATAACTGGGCGGCAGGCTAAATACTGAGCAGGGACCGACCGTCCCGGCATTCCCACAGGCCTACCGCGCAATGTTCTTAGAACCCAGAAATGTTCTCAGAACGAACATAAGGTTCTGAAAAACATAAACGCGCTGTGTTGAAACAAGAAAGCCCCATTCAGAAATGCTCTAAGAACTTTTCGTGCAGACCACAAAATGTTCTCAGAACATTCTTTGGTGGGCTTATAGGCAAGCCAGGGCGCTTCGCCACTGCTCGGCAGTCTCAGTGTTGGGCAGCGCGGTGGAAGGATCCGAGGGAGCCCTGACTTCGTATTTCTGGCAACCCAGGCCCAAGCGGCCAGCGACTGCGATAGGAACCATGTTTGGCGCATCGTGGGCCGTCTTGGAGGTCCTGCGGCCGGCCCAAAAGGGCCAACTTAGTAAACAACATGTCGTGCATGACTGTAACATAATCGGCTTTTCTGTTGGAATGCCGTCCAAGACGGCCCAAGAGGGGGAACCCAGTGCCGCCAAGAGGTCGCCAAAAGATCCCCCCAAAGCCCCAAAGAGGCCCCCAAGAGGCCTCCGAGAACGCTCACCCAGAGGGCCACAAGAGCCCTCCAAGAGACCACAAGAGGCATGCATGCAATATGTCCGTAACCCACAACCCAAGCACGGTGGCAGGTTGAGCCTAAGGCCACTAGATCCGCCGCCCCCTTTTGCTTCAGCAAAGGGGTGCCCGGCGTGCCGAACCCTATCGGTTTTGGTTTTGGTTCTTTTTCCCAAAGCACTCTCCGAATGGGCTCCGGCGCGTCCCGCCGGGGCCGCGGAAGGCCCGGAAACGAGCTCAACGACCGCAAAAAATCCTCCAAGATGGCTCGAGATGACCTCCCAGACGGCCAAGATGGCCTCCAAGACGGCTCAGATGTGCCCAAGATGCCGCCAAGACGGCCCAAGATGCACCCAAGACGGCCGCAGATGGTGTCAAGATGGCCCACGACTGCCCAAGAGTCCCCCCAGAGGCCCCGAAGACGGCCGAAAAGGCCTCCAAGAGCTCCTCCAGGAAGGCTCGCCGAGGCCAAAATCATTGATTCCCCTTAGGTTTTTCACAGATTTTGGTATTTACGCCTTTTCGGCCTTCCGACGGCCCCAGGTGGCCCGAAAAGTCCCCAAGATCGTCCCAAGAGGCCTCCAAGATGGCCCCGTGACGGCCCAAGAGGCGCCCAAGACGGTCCCAAGACGGCCCAAGAGGCCTCCAAAACGCCGAAGATGGTCTCCAAGATGGCCTCCAAGACGGTTCAGATGGCCCCAAGATGCCGCCAAGGCGCCGAAGATGCACCCAAGACGGCCTAAGATGGCGTCAAGATGGCCGAAGACGGCCCAAGAGGCCCCCAAGACGGCCCAAGAGGCCTCTAAGAGCTCCTCCAGGAGGGCCCGAAGAGGCCCAAGAGGGTCCCCTGTGGGCCCAGAAAGGCCCCCAAGACGGCTCCCGACGGCGTCAGACGTGCCAGGAACCCACCAAGATGGCCGAAGTTGGCTCGAAGCTGGCTCAAAAGGGCCCAAGAGGCCTCGAAGAGGGCCTCCAGGAAGGCCAGACGAGGCCGAAAACATAGATTTTCCTGAGGTTTGTGACGGATTTTGACATTTCCTTCTTTTCGGCCTTCCGACGGCCCGAGACGGCCCAAGAGCCACCAAAGATCGCCGAAAGATCGCCCAGGAGGCCTCCAAGACGGCCAAGATGACCTTCAAGATGCCCACGTGTTCCCCGAAGGCTTTCCAAACCGATTCGGGGAACACATGGTCCGATGGCTTGGCAGGTCTGGCCTCAACGTTCGGCCACATAGGCGCTTCCACAAAGGCAGGGGGCGGCGGTGATTCGCCGTAGGCGTCTTAGATCCGCCGCCCCCAGTGGCTTGCAACAGGGGTGCGCGGCGTGCTGGATATTCAATAACTTGCGGCCCTGAGGGCCTTCGGCCCAACCTGCCGGCCACCCAGAAGGACGTTGAGATAACGACAAACACAGAAAAATCGTCTCCACGAATATCCGTAAACTTCCTAGGTCGTCGGCATTTCTGCTCCAGACGGCCCCAAGAGGGCCCCCAAGACGGCCAAGATGGCCTCCAAGACGGCTGCGATGGCCCCAGCAGAGCACAATATGGCCCTGATATGTCTCCAAGATGGACCGACATGCACCCAAGATAGGCCAAGATGGCCTCAAGATCGCCCAAGAGGCCTCTGAGACGGCCTAAGAGGCCTCCAAGAAGACCTCCAGCAAGGCCCAGACAGGTCGAAATCATTGATTCAACTCAGGTTTTTCACATACTTTGACGCTTGCACATTTTCGGCTCTCCGGCGGCCCAAGATGGCCCCAAAGGCCACCAAGAGGGCCCCGAAAACGCCCGGGAGGCCTCAGAGATGGCCCGCGCTGACGGCTCAGGTGGCCCTCAAGGTGGCCGCAAGAGGGCCTCAAGTTGGAGGAGGACGAGGAGGAGGAGGAGGAGGAGGAGGAGGAGGAGGAGGAGGAGGAGTAGGAGGAGGAGGAGGAGGAGGAGGAGGAGGAGCAGGAGGAGGAGCCCAATGTAGAGAAGGGGAGGGGGGAGGAGGAGAAGGAGGAGGAGAAGGAGGAGGAGGAAGAGGAGGAGGAGGAGGAGGAGGAGGAGGAGGAGGAAGAGAAACGAGATGGAGGAGGAGAAGGACGCCCGGGATACCTCTGAGACGCCCAAGACGGCCTCCACGACGGTCCTGAAGCGCCCCAAATAGGGCCCACCTTGGCGCCCAGAGAGGCGGTGTCCGCCGGCCAGGTGGCCAAAGAGCCTCCCATGGAGCCTCCAGAGGCCCCCCCACGAAGCCTCTCAGAGGCCCCCAGGAAGCTCCCAGGAGGCTCAAGGAGTGGCCCGAGAGACTCCGAAGAGGCCTCCATCTCCTCCTCCTTCTCCTTCCTTTTCCCCTCTGGCCTCCTCTTCTTCTTTGTCCCCCACGTGTTCCCCGAATGGCCGCAACGGCTGGGGGAACACATAGTCCGATAGCTTGGAAAGCTCTGGCCACAACGTTCGGCCACATAAGCGCTTCCCAAAGGCAAGAGACGGCGGTGATTCGCCATAGGCGTGCTCGATACAAGAAACGTGGATCCGCTTTTTGGGATTGCCAGCATGACGCAGTAGAACCACAAACCGAACTTGAGTACTGCGCAGCAGCTTAACAAAGCGATGGCAGTCCACGCCTTGTTGGACTCCAAGAACGGTTGTACAACGAATCCAGCGTAATCTATAGTCTCCTGCATGTTTGCATTGGCCTCTAGCCATGTATCCGCGTCGAATGTGCCATTCAACGAACCCTCGCCTGGCTTGAATTGAAACGCCGGAGGCTCGCTTTCGCCTCGCCCTCGCTGAAGTAATGACCACGTCTCGCCTTGCCCGCCCATCAGCAGAGACCAGAACGATCTCACGGCCCTCTCCCTGGCCGCCTCGTCGATCTCCGACACCTCCTTGACGTTGCCCAACGCGTTCGCGAACATGATGGTGGCCATGAACGCCGCGAACAAGGCCACTGCTGCTGGCTCGAACTTTGCCCGCCCCGCGGGGTAGGTGGCACGGTCCTGCCTGGCCACCTGGCGGGCGGCGAACCGTGCGACGCACGTCGCCGCGAGGTCTCCCAGCGACCCCAGCGCCGAGGTCAGGATCACCGCGGATCCCGTCTGCCAGTACACCGCCAGCTTCAGCGCCGAGAGGGCCGCGCAGGCTGCGGTGGCGACGCGCACCACGTGCCGCACGGTGTACAGCGCCTGCCCAGAGATCGTTCGGCACCAGATCGGGAGGTCGAATCGGGCAGGCGAGTGCAGCGGATCGGGCCCCATCCGCACGCAGTCGCAGTTTAGTTAGACTGGCCGCGCGAGGAGGCACGACTGCACCGTGCAAACACCCGACAGTCTCGGGCCGCCTCGTGTCGCTGGGATACCGAGGACCGAGATCGACTAGGATCGAGCGGGGCGGAATCGTAGCCAAACTGAATCGATCGGATCGGAACGGACCCGAAGCCGAAGGTCGCCGATGGCTGCCCAAAGCTGCCGAAGGGCTCTGGCCTACTCAACGTGAACCATGGCTTCCCAGGCGTCTGGCCCTGCAAACGTCCCCCCGGGACCTCTCCGATGGTGCGTTCTCGCTGTGATTCAGTGGGGGATTCAAATGTGACGACGAGGATATTCACATAAACCAGAAAGCAAATGTGAAAACTATGGAAAACTGGAAAACCTTTATCCTCGATCCTCCTCCTCCTCCTCCTCCTCCTCCTCCTCCTCCTCCTCCCCCTCCTCCTCCTCCTTCTTCTCCTTCTCCTTTTCCTCCTCCTCCTCCTCCTCCTTTTCCTCCTCCTCGTCCGCATCCTCCTCCTACTCCTCCTCCTCCTCCTCCTCCTCCTCCTCCTCCTCCTCTCCCTCCTCCTCCCAGCAGGCCGAAATCCAGTCAAGACCTCTCGGGGGGGCCCATCGGGACAAGCTTCCGAGCCGAGTCGAGTCTAGCCGTGGCCACGAGAATCTCTAGAGGCTTCCCAATTCTCCAAGACGTCGCCGCCGCCGCCGCCGTCGGCGCCGCCTTCGCCGACGCTGTTGCTGCGAGGAGGGGGAGGATGAAGGAGGAGGAGGAGGAGGAGGAGGAGGAGGAGGAGGAGGAGGAGGAGGAGGGAGGAGGAGGAGGAGGAGGAGGAGGAGGAGGAGGAGGAGGAGGAGGAGGAGGAGGAGGAGGAGGGAGGAGGAGGAACAGGAGGAGGAGCAGGAGGAGGAAGAGACGGAGGAGGGGGAGGGGGGAAAAGACGAGTTGATCAGGAGGAGATGTGTACTGCGAGGCACGCTTGGCTTCACGCTTGCTCAGGATCGAAGCCCAGGCATGTGCGCCTGTCGTGCAGACAGTCTTGAGCACTCGAATCTAAACCTCGGACTCCTCAACACACGACCCCTTGAGCCAGGAGGAGCTCATTCGGCAGGAGGGGAAGGCAACGAAATGGGCGGCTCAGGCGGCCCAGCAGCAGGTGCCGTCGGCGCGGGCGGGGCAACACCAGAAGCAGACATCGATGGATGAACGGGCGCGATAGCCTTGAGCCAAGGAGGAGGAGGAGGAGGAGGAGGAGGAGGAGGAGGAGGAGGAGGAGGAGGAGGAGGAGGAGGAGGAGGAGGAGGAGGAGGAGGAGGAGGAGGAGGAGGAGGAGGAGGAGGAGGAGGAGAAGGAGGAGGAGGCCGGGCCCCTGCGCTGCTGCTCTGGGCGGCGGCGGCGGCGGCCCTGCAGGCACACCTACACCATGGAGATGGACGTGAACCCTGGCGACGCCCCTGGCGCTGCACCAGCGGCGGCGGTGGGGACCGATGCTGAAGCGGACCCAGGCGCTGCGCCGGCGGCTGCGGTGGCGGCGCCAGGGCGCCGGCGGCAGCGCCCGCCGGACGAGGGTGACGACGGAACCACCTCAGGAGGTGGAGCGTGGGTCATCTCTGCCCCCTCTTCGCGCACCCTTTCGATGTGTTCGAGCTGCCTGGAGGAGATCCTGGCCCGGGCGCCGCGCGTCCGCCGGGGAGGGCAGGGCGCTCGCGTGCACCACATAGAGGCGCAGGCTGCTCTCGGGGCTGCCGCTGGCGCTGCCGCCACTGCTGCCGGGTCCCTGGCCCGAGCTGCCCCGGAGGCAGCTGCGGGAAGAGCAGAAGGACAAAGGAGGAGGCATGAACCGAGGAGGGAGGAGGAGGTTCAGTACGGGGAGTTGCAGCGCATGGAGTTCTGGGATTTGTTGTCGTGGGGCCGCCTGCACGACCCGGTGCGCGCAGTGGCAGACCTGCGTAAGGCCCTGTGCGACGCCATGCTCGCGGCCACCACGGAGCAGGAGCAGGCGCAGCTCCTGAAGGCGATTCTCTTCTCGGACCGCCTGCTCTTCGCCGCTGCCCGCAAGCGTCGAGGAGGGGCGCGGGGCCAGAGGGGCGAAACACTGGCCCGGACCCTGGCGAGGCGCATCGGGCTGGCGTGGGAAGGCTGCTGGGACGTCCTCTGGCGGGAGTCCGAGGTCCCACTGGCAGAGCCCGGAGCAGCGGCGCAGTCCGAGGCACAGCAGCTGGCCCGGGACATCCAGAGCATCAACGAGGCTTTGGCGGAGGAAGACATCCGGGAGGCCCTCAGAGTCGTGGACGGGCGGACCCAGATGGCCTCCGACAGCAAGGCCAGGCGGTGCCTCCCTGGCCTGTTCCCGCGGGCGGCCTCGCAGCCCGCCCTGATGGCGGCGGACCCGGAGGAGGAGGAGGAGGAGGAGGAGGAGGACGTGAACCGCTTTTTGGACGAACTCCGGAAGGCTTGCACCCACGTGCCGCGGAACCGGGGGGCCCGGCCAGGCGGCACGAGGAACGAGCACTGGACGTGGATGCCTCGTCACGCGGCGGCCTGGGAGAGTTTCCAGCAAGTGGTCCTGCGGCTGCAGCTCGGCCGGGTCCCTGGCGAGGTGCACGGGCCCTGGCTGTCAGCAAGGATCCTGGCGGGGGACCGGGAGGAAGAAAACAAGGTGCGACCCCTTGCGCTGGGCAACGTCCACCGGCGCGCCGCCTCGAAGGCCGTCGGCCGGATGTTCACTGGCAGGTGGCCGCGGCGCTGGGGCAGAACGATTACTCAGTGGGGAGCGCCCGGGGGGCAGAACGCATGCGCAAGGCAGCTCTGCTCGACCTCGACTGCCGGCCGCGCTGCTGCAAGGTCAGCCTGGACGTGAGTAGCGCCCGCAACGAATTTGACAGGGGGGCCGCGGCGACAACAGTGTCCGCCCTGGTCCCGGACCTGCTGCCTTGGGCGCGTCTGGGCCTGTGCACGGGTTCCACACACGTGCACGTGGCGCGCGACGGCACGCGGACCCAACTCCCGAAGGAACGCGGCGGGGACCAGGGAGACGCCCTCACCAACCAGGTGTTCCCTCGGTGCTACCACGGGGTGGCTGGCGCCGTGGAGCAGGCAGGCAGCAACCACCGCGGCGGAACCGGCGAGGGGGTACTGCTACCAAGATGACCTCGACGTCATGTGTGACCCCTCCAAAGCCCCCGCCGCCGAGGAAACCTTTGCGCGCGCCTGCGCCGCGGTAGGCCTCCGCGGCAACCTGGCCAAGACCAAGCTGAGCCCAGGCCGGGAGGTCGACGTGGCGGCGCTCCCTGGGCGGCGCGAGCTAGAACCCCGGGCCCTGGTACTCCGCCACGGCGCGCTGCCGACGGTCCCAGCGACCCCTGCCGCTGCGCCGGCGGAAGGGAGCCTCCTCGCCGAGGGCAGCCCCGAGGTGTCGGCGCTGCAGACAGCCCGCGGTAGGCTCTACCAGAGGCTGCGCACTCTTTGCGCGGCGGGCCTGGACAAACACGTGGCGCTCACACTCCTGCGCACGCAGACGGGCTCTGACTACACGTTCCTGGCGCGCACCTGCGGCATCCCGACTGGGGAGGCGCGGGCTCTGGACGGGGCGCTGGCCGCGGAGTACGCGCGCGCCCTGGGCGACCCTCTGGGAGACGCCACGCGCAGGAAGCTCTTTCTCGCCGGCGCCGCCGGAGGCTACGGACTGCAGAGCGTGGAGCTCGCGGCCCCCGCGGCGAGCGCAGCCTCCTGGCACCTCTGCCTGCCGCACTGCCTGCGGCGGCTCGGCCTGGACAGCGCCGCCGCCCTAGCAGCGCTGAGCCCCTGGGCGCGCCACGCCCTGCTGGCGGCCACGGCGATGCTCCGGGCCGCGCTAGGGGACGACACCGCCCACGTGGGCGACGAGGCACTGGCAGCTACGCCGCGCACCCTGGCTACGGCCTCCTTCGCTGCGGCTGCCCGCCTCGCCGCCGACGAAGCGGCCGCGGACCCCTCGGCGGCGGCCGCCCTGCGCTCCGCGGGAGGCCACGGAGCGAGCGCACTCCTGCAGATGCCGACGCGCCCCTGCCACCGGCTGACCAACGCGCAGCTGGTGCGGTGCCGGTTCAATCTCGACCTGCCTGGCTGCACGGCCCCCGCGCCCGCGGCAGGCGCAGCAGGGCCACGGCCGCCGAGGCTCTGCCAGCACCGGCACCCCGACAGCGGAGTCTGCGGCGAGCCACTGGACCCCAAGGGGCGGCACGCCCGCGGCTGCAAGGTGGGCGGATGGCTGGTCCGCCGCCACGACGCGGGCTGCGCGGCGCTCGCGGAGTAGTGCGAAGAACAAGGGTGTACCGTACGCCGAGAAGTCCTCCTCCCGCACGCCGCGCTGGCGAGCCCGGAGGCGCGGATGCACCTCGTCGTCCACGCCCCAGGCCTAGCTGAGCCACTCATTGTCGACCTGACCGTGGTGAGCGCGCTCACACAAGACGCGCTCGCGCTCGGCTCGCGCTCGGCGCGGCGGGACGGCGCGGCGGGACGGCGCGGCAGCGGCGGCCGCGGCGCGGCGCAAGCGGGCCCGCTACCCCGGGCTGGCTGTGGTGCCCTTTGTGGTGGAGGACCACGGCCGCCTGGGGGAGGAGGCGCTGGCCCGGACGAGGCTGCTGGCGCCCGCCCAGGACACGGCCCGCTCCGCGGCCATCCGGCGACTGCACCAGTCGCTCGGGTGCGTCCTCCAGCGGAACGCCGCCGACGCGGTGCTGGCGGCGACGCAGACGCAGGGCTGGGCCGCCAGCGCCAGGCGCGGAGCCGGAACAGGGGGCTAGACTGCCACGCGCTGCGCCCCAGCCTGCCGGCGCCGGCTGCCGGGGCGCCAGGCCGTCGGGCTGCCGCTGGGCGCTGAGCAGCGGCGGGGGCTGCTGGGGTGAGGCGCGCTACGGCTCGGGCGCTGCGCGGCCGGCGGGGCTGGCGCGGGCTGCCGGGCGCGGAGGAGCAGGACGGCGAGCTGGGCGGGGGCGCCGGGCTGCCGCCAGAGCTGCCCGGGCCGCGGGCGGCGGCAGGTGGGCGCGGGGCAGTGGAGGAGGGGGGGGGCGGCAGCGCGGGGCGACTGGATGGCTGCGCCGCGCGGGCCAACCAAGCGACGTCGGGGAGCTGGCCTACCTCATCCTCGGGGGACTCGCCGAGCTCCCGTGTATCGGAGGGTGGTCGAGGCCCCGGCCGGCAGACCCCTCCCCCCTGGGAGTGGCCGCTGTCTCAAACAGCTGGCCACCCCCACGGGAGCCGTCCCCGGCTACGGAGGAATCTGCCGGCTTCCGATCAAAGAGCGCCAGCCGCGCAGGGAAGACTCGCGGCCGCCTGCTGGAGGATGATGAGGAGGAGGAGGAGGAGGAGGAGGAGGAGGAGGAGGAGGCGGAGCGTACCTGGGGAGATCCGTCATCAGGAGGAGGAGGAGGAGGAGGAGGAGGAGGAGGAGGAGGAGGAGGAGGAGGAGGAGGAGGAGGAGGAGGAGGAGAAGGGGGAGGAGGAGGAACAGGATGGCCGAGGAAGAGGAGGATCGCCATTGACGTCGTCGTGCCCGGAGGCCTGCCCGACGTCCACTCCAGCCTCCACGGCGTCGTGCTCGCTGGCGGTTACGGCGGCCAGCTCGGCCCTCGCCCAGGCCTTTGCGGCGACGGCGGCTGCCGCTGAGACGACGACGACGACGCACGCGACAGCGACTGAGAAGACGACGGCGGACTACGACGACAAGCGACAACGACACTGGACCTCTCTCTCTCTCTCTCTCTGGACAACGAATTCGACGCTAGTCCAACCGTGGCCAGGACGGCCATGCCGGCCAGCCTGGCCCTCGGCCACGCCTTCACGTCGTCAGCAGCCGCGACAGCAACGGCGACGACCGTGGACATCCCCAGATTCCCTCAGGCTCTTAAATCATGATCTTTGGCTTCCAAGGGCCCTCTTACCAGGACCCTGCGCTGTTAAAATACGGCCCAGATTGAAGAATCGGTCCAGGGAAGGGTGTCGAAGCATCTGGGGTTCACAATGAGAAGTGAACATGATATCGGGCCACCACGTGATCGTCCTCGACGCAAGCGACAACGAATGTCGTCGACACGAGCATCAGCACCAAAAGACCAGACCCTCGCTCGCGCGAGCCCCAGGGCACGAAACATCACATCGCATCCACGGATGTGGGGTGTCTGGGCCCCCTTGGGGCGTGTTCTGGCCTGGGGTTCCAGGCGGATCCAGCCGTGGCCACGGGGGCGCCCGGGGCGGCCCTGAGGACCAGACAGCTGCTGGAAACCTCGAACCTCGAATCTCGATCGATCGGAGACGACGACGGTCGACGGCGACGACGGAGACGACGGCGGCAGCGGCTGCAACGACGGCGACAAACGACCCCGACCGACGACGACCTCTTGCTCGACCTAGAGAATCTAACCAACGCATGCCTCTAATCAGGCAACCCGGATAAGACGCAGGCCAACCACAATTCACAGTGGAGCGCGTAACCTCCCCATCAGCTGGGAAGCCCTCAACTCGCGATTACATTTAGGTCGGGCATGTCCTCCTACAGGCGGAGTTTGGAAGAGAAATGCAACATAGCCAAGAAATGCTCAGATATTGTCCAACATGTTCGAAACATCGTCCCCAGACTATCTCTTGTCTATTACTGCATATTCGTCCTGTAAAGGGACATGCCCGACTCGAGATTACATGTGACGTCGTCTCAGCGACGATGGCGAGACGACCGACGACTGGCGACGGCGTGCGGACCCCTGGACCTCTCTCGGGGTGCGCTCTGGTCAGAACCCCAAGGCGGTCTTGGCCCGGGGCCACGGGGGCGCCGCAGAAGCCCAGAAAGGACAGAAGCTCACAGAAACCTGGACCCTCGAATCGATGATCGGTCGATCGGTCGATGGCGGTGACGACCGATGAGCGACGGCGACGACGGCCGACGACGACGGCGATTGTTGGCGGCGCCCACGGGGGGTTGGCGCGAGAGTGGTGGGCTTCTAAAAAGGATGCGGGGCTTCCGAGATGGCTGGGGCTTCTTAAACGCCCTCCCAGCTTCGAGGAGGGCTTCGCAAAAGCTCGCGGGCCCTCTGGAGAAGACCTTTACCCTTTGAGAAGCCCTCCGCCTTCTTTGAAACCCACCCCCCCTCGCGCCAATCCCCTTGTGGGCGCCGCCAGCGGTCGACCGATCGTTTTTCTGCTGTGTTTTTCGATCCGCGGTCTCAGGCTACTTTCTTGGGGGTAGTTTTTCGTCCCGACGCGCTTTTGATGGCCCAGAGGCCGATCACGGGCCCAGGAGGCTTGGGCGCGCATTGCTGGGGGGCGGATACATGTGGGGGAGAGAAAGGTGCCCTTCTTGTGCCTTAAAGGCCCCCTTCTGGGCCTCAGGGGCGCTCTCATGGGTTTTGAAGGGCCGCTTTTCGGCAGCCCTCGCTGCCCCTTCGTTTATCGCCCCCCAGTGGGCGTCCTCCGAGAGGCAGACATCGAATAAAAACGCAACGACTGAAAACATCATGCCATCGGAGATCCGTCTTCCTGGTGGCTTTCGGGCCGTACCTCGTGCCTCCGGCGGCCGCTCGGGACGATCTGGGCACCCCCAGACCGCGTTCGGCAAGGCGCAGCTGCTGGAACGCATCCCGGGGCTAGAAGACTGCAGAGAACCATGCACTGGAAATTATTGTTCAGAAGGCTTCAGGCTTCCACGAGCATCTTTTTTGCGGAAAGCAAGCGGTCCAGGTCTGGCACATCCCAAATAATGCGTAAGTTTGAGCATACATAGAACATGCTTGTCGTCGGTGCCGTTCTCGATAGTCTACCCTGGAATCCAGATTTTCGCATATATGCAGAGAGAACTCAGACTCTGACCCAGAAGCTGTTTTTCTTCATAAGTCGCATGGGTGTGGAAGATGCTCGCGCACGCCGTGGATCTGGGGACGACGGCGGCGACCAGCGGACGAGGACTGGCGGCGGCGGCAAGCGAACGACGACCGGCGGCGATGACGACGACGACGACGGCGAACGACGACCTGCGTCGGTGACAGGCAACAGGCGAACGACGGCGACCGTTACGACGGCGACCGGCGAACGATACGGGGGCGGCGGCGGCGGCGGCTGGCGCATGTCCCCCGCCGGGGAGCCTTCACACTCCTGCGGGCCCGTCTCGCGCGCTCGGCGCGGCACTCGGGGCCCATGGCTCTC